TTACAGCGCAGTATGACTGAGTGGTTAAACTCTCCTCCCGGTGCACGCTAGCTGTACCTTCCGTGAGATCGCGCGACAAAGATACGCGACGCGTCGACCAGAGCGAAGCGTACAACATGGGATTTCGTCTGGCAATGGAGACGCGGTGAGCAATGTTTGTGGGTGGGGATGGAGAAAAGCAAAAGCTGTATCGCCGCTTTGTCGTGCATGACGAGGTGGCTTAATGCGCTCTAGCTGTTATATCGCCGTGGTCGGTCCATTTTATCGTTACCGCTGTGAAATCATCGTCAGGCAGACTGTACGCGCGTACCGTAGCTGTTATAGACCTCGGGAACACCCCATCTTTTAAGGTTTTGAGAGAAACTAGACACTCCCCTACACTCTGTCACGGCCTCTGTCGTTACCTGAATGCTAACAGCGGTTTTCAGTTGCTCCAGGCAGATTCGTGGTTCAATCTTGGCTCACTTTATCATACACGAGCAAGAGGAATGTTGCAGAAGATAAGTACAACGGTGGGTTACAGGATGTTTGAAAGGCTCCACTGTCGTTACCGCTCAACTGAAGGATTTTACTGGGTTTCCTCCCAGGGCTCCCACACCCTAGTGATGACCCGACTAATATTATCGCGCCAGACAGTCGCAGCTACGTCGAATTATTTCGGACAAGCAGTAAAATTAATGATGTGTACCTGGAGCACTTGAATATTTTCTCAGCTTCAGTGCTTCCCTAGTGCTACTGAATCCGATCTGTGTGGATGGCCCAGTAAGCGGCCCACTTAGCTTCACATGAGCCAGGCAGCCCGGCCCATGTGCAGAGGCTTTACCCGGGTCCTATGCGAGTCAGGTACGCGCCATACACATACAAAGAAGCACTTCTAAGCAAGCAGAGATAGGATATTCAACTGCCACCGTGCGAGTGAAGACATACAAGTTGCGGCGAGGTGCAGGAAACGGGTTACTGAGCGAGTGGCGATCCACCTCCAGTGTGGCCAGTTCTGCGTGTGCCATTGGCTAAACCCCACTTGCCTGGCCACCCATCACAACTTGGACCTCCTGTTCTGCACCCAGGGAATTCAGCTGTTTTGTTATGATAACTGCTGTTTAACGCCGCAGTACGCGTTCCGAATGTTATCACAAGAATGCTGAGTTGTGGGCAAAAGTCGTGCCCCAGGCGGGAGTCGAACCCGCACCTCACGCTTTCCGGGCGAGTGCGCTATCCGTTACGCCACCAGGGCCGCTTTTACCCTCTCAGCTTAACGGCTTTTATGCCGTAGCCTATCAGCACTCACACGTTTAACTTGGTGAGCCGGTCAGCCGTAATCGATGGGATATCGGCATGAAACCGCGAGGCCTAAGGCTTTAGATGTTTTTGAAGCTGTTTTGTTATGATAACTGCTGTTTAACGCCGCAGTACGCGTTCCGAATGTTATCACAAGAATGCTGAGTTTGGGCAAAAGTCGTGCCCCAGGCGGGAGTCGAACCCGCACCTCACGCTTTCCGGGCGAGTGCGCTATCCGTTACGCCACCAGGGCCGCTTTTACCCTCTCAGCTTGACGGCTTTTATGCCGTAGCCTATCAGCACTCACACGTTTATTTTGGTGAGCCGGTCAGCCGTAATCGGTGGGATATCGGCATGAAACCGCGAGGCCTAAGGCTTTAGATGTTTTTGAAGCTGTTTTGTTATGATAACTGCTGTTTAACGCCGCAGTACGCGTTCCGAATGTTATCACAAGAATGCTGAGTTGTGGGCAAAAGTCGTGCCCCAGGCGGGAGTCGAACCCGCACCTCACGCTTTCCGGGCGAGTGCGCTATCCGTTACGCCACCAGGGCCGCTTTTACCCTCTCAGCTTGACGGCTTTTATGCCGTAGCCTATCAGCACTCACACGTTTATTTTGGTGAGCCGGTCAGCCGTAATCGGTGGGATATCGGCATGAAACCGCGAGGCCTAAGGCTTTAGATGTTTTTGAAGCTGTTTTGTTATGATAACTGCTGTTTAACGCCGCAGTACGCGTTCCGAATGTTATCACAAGAATGCTGAGTTGTGGGCAAAAGTCGTGCCCCAGGCGGGAGTCGAACCCGCACCTCACGCTTTCCGGGCGAGTGCGCTATCCGTTACGCCACCAGGGCCGCTTTTACCCTCTCAGCTTGACGGCTTTTATGCCGTAGCCTATCAGCACTCACACGTTTATTTTGGTGAGCCGGTCAGCCGTAATCGGTGGGATATCGGCATGAAACCGCGAGGCCTAAGGCTTTAGATGTTTTTGAAGCTGTTTTGTTATGATAACTGCTGTTTAACGCCGCAGTACGCGTTCCGAATGTTATCACAAGAATGCTGAGTTGTGGGCAAAAGTCGTGCCCCAGGCGGGAGTCGAACCCGCACCTCACGCTTTCCGGGCGAGTGCGCTATCCGTTACGCCACCAGGGCCGCTTTTACCCTCTCAGCTTAACGGCTTATGCCGTAGCCTATCAGCACTCACACGTTTATTTTGGTGAGCCGGTCAGCCGTAATCGGTGGGATATCGGCATGAAACCGCGAGGCCTAAGGCTTTAGATGTTTTTGAAGCTGTTTTTATATGATAACTGCTGTTTAACGCCGCAGTACGCGTTCCGAATGTTATCACAAGAATGCTGAGTTGTGGGCAAAAGTAAGAGGGTAAAAGCGGCCCTGGTGGCGTAACGGATAGCGCACTCGCCCGGAAAGCGTGAGGTGCGGGTTCGACTCCCGCCTGGGGCACGACTTTTGCCCAGACGCGGTGAGCAATGTTTGTGGGTGGGGATGGAGAAAAGCAAAAGCTGTATCGCCGCTTTGTCGTGCATGACGAGGTGGCTTAATGCGCTCTAGCTGTTATATCGCCGTGGTCGGTCCATTTTATCGTTACCGCTGTGAAATCATCGTCAGGCAGACTGTACGCGCGTACCGTAGCTGTTATAGACCTCAAGGAACACCCCATCTTTTAAGGTTTTGAGAGAAACTAGACACTCCCCTACACTCTGTCACGGCCTCTGTCGTTACCTGAATGCTAACAGCGGTTTTCAGTTGCTCCAGGCAGATTCGTGGTTCAATCTTGGCTCACTTTATCATACACGAGCAAGAGGAATGTTGCAGAAGATAAGTACAACGGTGGGTTACAGGATGTTCGAAAGGCTCCACTGTCGTTACCGCTCAACTGAAGGATTTTACTGGGTTTCCTCCCAGGGCTCCCACACCCTAGTGATGACCCGACTAATATTATCGCGCCAGACAGTCGCAGCTACGTCGAATTATTTCGGACAAGCAGTAAAATTAATGATGTGTACCTGGAGCACTTGAATATTTTCTCAGCTTCAGTGCTTCCCTAGTGCTACTGAATCCGATCTGTGTGGATGGCCCAGTAAGCGGCCCACTTAGCTTCACATGAGCCAGGCAGCCCGGCCCATGTGCAGAGGCTTTACCCGGGTCCTATGCGAGTCAGGTACGCGCCACACACATACAAAGTAGCACCTCCAAGCAAGCAGAAGATAGGATATTCAACTGCCACCGTGCGAGTGAAGACATACAAGTTGCGGCGAGGTGCAGGAAACGGGTTACTGAGCGAGTGGCGATCCACCTCCAGTGTGGCCAGTCTGCGTGTGCCATTGGCTAAACCCCACTTGCCTGGCCACCCATCACAACTTGGACCTCCTGTTCTGCACCCAGGGAATTCATTTGGCAGTGCGTAGTACTATGAAAGGACTTCCTCAACGGGCCTAGTCTGCTTGCTTCTCAGGGAACTTACACCCCTGGGCATTCTGTTGCTGCTGAGTCCTTGACTTCAGCATCTTTATTCGGTTCTCATAATGTGCTGGATGTTCCCTCCCCCCCCCCTTCCCCCACCACCGGTCTTTCTCTTGCACCACCTAATCAGGGGAGAGTTGCGTCGAAAGGGGGATGTTTGTGTGGTCGGCCCGTAGGTAATGTATTCTAAAAGCAAACACGACTCTGTGTTATAGAGCAGCGATTTCAATTAACAGTAATCCGTTAATATCAGATTCCTCATGATCTCGACACGAGCATCGATCTCAGCGCCATATCTGAAGTAGAATCATCTATTGACAACAACATGACTCAAGCACTCTCATGTTACTGGTAGGTTACAGCCAAAACGGCAGCTGTTTTCTAGTTCAAATCACATTTCCCACGAAGGCTGATGTTTTCCGTTAAGGAAGCGAAAACATCGGTCTTCGTGGGAAA